GGAGAGTGAGAGAAACAAAAGAAGAGAGAGAGAGAGAGAGAGAGAGAGAGAGAGTGTCCTCATTAGGTTTTGCCTGGTGAGATGAAGCACTACATGAATGATGCCACAGTACATTTCAGTGCAGTTGAATTTGCACTCTGATGGATTAGATTGAAGATTGCACAAAAGAGACGAAATTCGATACTGATGTAAATAGTGGTTTTCCCAACCGAAAACAGCAGACTGGTATTTTTTATTTATTTAATTTGGGTTTTGTGCAAATCTACCTTTAGTTGTGACCAGTGAGTTTACATTGCTCCAAACAGCAATTTTCCATCATGCAACTTTTATAAATACCCGACCTGTTTAATGCATACAGCTGTTTGTTGAATGCTACACAGAAACTATAGTATCGATTGCTTCGTGCACAGTTGTGAGCGTCTCTCCTTCATGCAACGACTAATGAATGAACGCTTCGTCGAAGAAAAATCACGAATCAAAGCTATTTATCGATGTAAACAAGTGAGACTCACGGCGGCCAACAGCGGCTTGCGCAGTCGGCTGTACCCAGTGAAGAAGCGCTATGAGGGACAGGCAGAGGAGAGAGGACGGCGCGCCATGGAGAGGAGGCGGCGGATGAGGACGCATCCTAAACCCAAGAGGACCCCGGTGGACTGGGACGGGAGAGACATCAATGTACGCGCTGGCTGGGATGGCTCACATCCGACGCAAGGAGAGTCTCCGTCGGTGTGCCACGGCGAGTAGGCGCCACTCTTCTGAGAGATGATGGACACTCTCCTTGAGCCCTCCCCTTCAAGTGCACGCGCGTACGCACGCATGCGCGCGTATAGGCAAGACAAGACTAGTACTTACATTCAACAAGACATTATTAGTTATACTGTCTGTACAGTGATCCCCACGACGGGCAGAGATCCTGATGTTACGCCCCCCCCCCCCCACACACACACACACCACTATAAGCAATTTAGCCCACAACATTATTGGCCAAATTCGCATTACGGAATCATGACTACAGAACAGGGGTGGGCAATTAATTTTGAGCCGACATGAGAAACTACAATACTGTACTTTCCAACGGCCAAGCCAAATGCTAACCTAACCCTGTCTGTACTGTATTGTTATTCATGCATGGTGTTCCCTCGCTACTTCGCGGTTCTTGCGGCTTCACTATATCGCAGGTTTTCATTTGTGACCACAACTTCACATACCTGTCAACTCATACGGTTAAGCCATAGTTCATACGGATTTTGTGGTGAATCTTACGTATATGGCCGTATCGCACAAATCATACGGATTCTGAAAATTTCCGTTTTTTTCCCCCTAACAGGTAGTTCCGTTTGCTTTTTCCTAGAATGGTGCTAGTCTGCTCGAATGCTTTCATTTCCGCTAACTTTCCAGTCATGCCACTAAGTAGAATGATGATTAGACATTAACCAGACATTGTATTATGGAGATCTACAATAAATATCATTGAAAATTTCGTGGGTTTTTTCTGCCGTTATTTTGACATATAAAATGCTTTGGTATGTTATAAGGATTTTTTTGCTCTTTATAAGGATTTTTTTGGTAGTTTATACAGGTTGGCGCTCCAAAAAGTTGACAGGTATAACTTCATCTATTGCAAAGTTACCTATTTTGTTTGGGTTCTTGCAAATTTTTCTTCTAAGTCAAACCAGTTTTAAAAATATTGTTTTTAAACCGAGCCATTGAACATGAGACAGCTCATTCACCCTCAGTGGTCAAGCCAACTGCTCTCCTGCACTATTAGTGTACAATATAAAAAGCAGGATTATCCATTGAATTTATATCGGTTTAACAGTAATCACTGCGAAATGATTATTTGGTGATTATGGCCTGCTGTGTTGTTTAAAATAAAAAAAAAGACCACTTTAATAGTTCAATGAAAAAAAAAGCAAAATAAGAACAATTATTTAATGATCTACAAAAATTTGTTTGCAAAATAATATTCCATAACCCGAGTGGACACCTGGCACTATGAATAAATAAACATCCAGCTACTACTTTAGGAAATATGATACTGTATTCCTAACAAGTTTCAAAAGAAGGCTCGAATGTAAACACATAGTGACTTTAAATACAGTAAATGAGCCACTTGCTGAAACATGACCTGCTAAATGAAATGTGTTCTGTGAGATCAGAAACTGGGTTGAGTTTTGTTGTGTCCTAAGAGAAATCTCCTGAACACAGCTGTGTTGGGTCTTTTTTTTAATTTAAGAACACCAGTGCAACATTCATTCATTGGCCATACAGATCTGAAGCATTTGTGGGGTATCTACAGGAGCTTGAGAGAAGTCACCTGACCCAAAAATAAAGCACTTACAGTTGCTGTAGTGAGATTATGACAGAAATGAAATGCAGCCGGGTCGCTCCGCCGCAGCCATTCATATCGAGGTTGTCATTTAGAAGTGCAATGATAAATATGCCACGGAGCACATGTCAGGGGGATCGAGTGTACTCCGGGTGTGTGAGGGTATTCTTAGCACTGATGGCAGTGCAGGCCCACAAATCCATTCACTTCTCTAAATGGCGTCCTGGCAGTGAGACAAGACAGAGCACTCCTGCCAAGCGTTTTAGTGTGTACTGTACTTCAAGCACACTGAGTGCGGTGTGTGAACAATGTATAATGTCTTTGGCAAAAAATAATGATTGGTTGTGAGTGCATGATACAGTTTATAAGTAGCTTTAGTCTTTGGGGAAGCTGTGGATGAGTGGTTAAAAAATAGCCCTGTGAATAGCAGAACCACACGCTTGATTTTGGGCTGAGTTAAGGACCTAGTCCCGCCCAAATATGATGGTTTGACGACATAAATTTTGTACATGCACACACCTGACACGGATGTGCCGTCAGGCAGGGATGGGGCTCCACCGGGGTAGGGGTGCTACATGCCTGTCAAATATCTTTGTAGCTCAGTTGAGGACCTCCAGCATCTTATTTGATCTTCTAAAATATATATTTGAAATTATTTTTTTAGACCAACATGTATCGATCAAGCCCCCCTTTAGCCCTGTGAGAGAAAAAAATCCTGGACTGCAGGTGACTTTTGTGGTCATGTGAAGAGTAAAAAAGCAGAGGAAAAAAAAATCTTTTCAATTCTAGTCCTGGAGTCAGTGCTTTATATTGATGTTCTTTTTTAATCTTAATCCAATAGTGTGCGTGATTTAATTGTTTGAATAACCCCTCCCGCCCACACACATATTATTCTTGTGCTGTGGCTCACTGATGCAGAGATTGATTGCATTGTGCAACAGCACCTTTCATGGTAACATTTCTGAACTACAACAGGGACGGGTTTTGGGAAATGCATGTTCTCCTCACCTCTAGCAGGGCCGTCTTCAAAGATGTTGAGATATATTGCGAACATTTTTTTTTCACCAATCCCCATTAAAATACGTTAAGTGTAATATTTGAACAATGTTTTTTTACTGGCCTCTGATTTCAAAACTAGTTATCATTTTGTTGCGTACAGTGTGTGTAATATGAGGCTATCATACATTTTATTTAGGTTCACACAGTCATAATGGCCCTCCAATTATGATGTGGCGCACGACAAAAATCAGTTTTCGCATTCAGAGTAATATCGTGTTTGTGTAATATTCATTTGGGATTCAATGGATTAAAAGGGGTCTTATCATTTTATTTTATTTTTTTGCTGAGAAACTGTATAAACGGTTGTCTACTAATGCTGTGTACAGGTCCTGGTCATTATTTTGACATTTTTGTGCACGGGTTTGAAACTCCGGTTCATCCAGAGCCATAGCCTGTGTTTGAGATAGCCTCCCTCCTCCGACACATTTGATTCAATTGTTCATGATCGTTTCAGGCCTCTACAGAGTTTGCTGAAGAGCTGATAATTTGAATCAGACATGTTGAAGTACAGCGAAATCTAAAACAAGCAGCATATGGCTCTCGAGGAAGCGGAGTTCCCTACCCCCGTTTAAGCCTTTGTTGAAACTTGGGTCACAAACCGTCGGTGTGGCGCCATCTTCAGGTTAAGCACTGTACTGCATGTGCAGTGTCATTTTCAGTCGACTACAAGCGGCGCAATGACCGGCGCCTAAAATAGATAAAAATGGGTGGACTTTACTGCGTAATTCACAATCCAGGGGTCGCATGGAACATGTTCTTGTAAAGAGCATTTCTGACTTGACTTCCACTTTTAGTAAACAAAGTGATCCAAACGACTCTCAGCCACGTGATGTGTGTTTATTTTTCACAACACTAACAGCCATCGTCTTCTAGAATGTTTGAGTGTTGCTGCCAAAACTCTTCTCCTATTATGTCACAGTGGTAGGCCTGCACAATCTTCTTGCTCCGGGTCACGTGTACGTCCTTCCTCTCGTCATTCACTCCTTTTATTTGTTTGGTAACAGTTTCATCATGCTGCAACATAAAAAAGGTAAATGGTTACACTCTATGAATATTTTTATGAGGACATACAATGGGAATTAGTTGTTTTGTTTTTTTTAATTGCAAGTATACAAATAGATCAAATGTGAAATTAACCAATGATGCACTGTGGTAATAAGTGTCAGTTTTTTCCCAAACTGTATCAAGAAAGGGCTGTTAAGACAGTGACACTGAAGTGTTACTCACCAAAGGCATCGACTCAACACTTATTATTAGAGTATGAGTGTTTTGTTTTTATACTATAACAGTGTTCTTGTTACAAAAAAGATACATGAAGCTCATGTGCAATGCAAATCACCACTGCATTATGCTTTTTTCATTTAAGTTCAGAGTGAGTAATTGAATGTCTTAAAGTTGAAAAGGATACTTCACATATGCATGCCATTTGCAGCAGATACGTTCATATTTTATTGGTAATTAATTTGATACGTTTAAAATGATTTTAAAAATAATATAGCTGGCCACCATGTTCAGTGAACACGACACTCGATAATGTTTGAGGTGTACCTTAACATGAAAACAGCAAAACTGTCAAGATCTGAAGCAGTAATCAATAAAATGAGCATCATATCATCTGACCTTTTCCCAGATAAGAGTTGTGCCTTTCCTATGGATGGCCGCTTCATTGTTGTAGTTGAGGTCAAACTCTGAGAACAGGATTTCATTTTTGTCAGCAGCTAACGTTCCCTGTATGACAACACAAATGTGAAAACGTGTGCAAAGACTGTATTAAATTAGGCGTACAAAGGGTGGATATTGAATGCACAATTACACAATTCAATTTCTAAGAGTACAGCTGTAGGTAAAAATTATCGAAACCCCTCCCCCAAACATTTTAATGCATCATCATCAATAACTTTTTCTGTCATGTTTAAAACAGTGAAAAGCCTGCCACGTGTTGTCAGACTCTTAAATGAACTATCAATGATTATTCATTGCATACAGATGGTTACAGAAATTGCAAGAATTCGGAAATAACTGTAGGTTGCGAGAAACATAATCAGCCCCATCTTGTGGCAGAAAAAGAAAAACCTTTCAATGTGGAAGACTGAAATCCACCAATTTCTTCAAATATTTCCTGGTGTATATCTTCCAAAAAATAGCACCAAGGTTTCTTCATCATGTTTGGGCACATTGCATTGAAAAGTTGGCACGCACCATCCTCTGCCAGTACGTGGATGCAGTGAAATCGCAGTGGGTCGGACACATTGGTTGACGCATTTCACAGACAGGAACAGCTCAGGATGAACTAATTTGGTCTCCTTAAGCGTGCAAGCCAAGCCACAGTAGTAGAGCTATTGCTTTTTAATTTCGTTTTTGTAACGGCTTTTCAATTGATTACTTGAATGACCTAAAAGCATTTTAATTCAAATAGTTACTGTAATCATGACTTTAGCACTGTGTTGGCACTGGTTAGTAATAGAGAGGAACTCTGTCGTGAACCTGATGACCCTCTGCATTCTATATACTGTAAATATGAATACAACTCAGATCTGAATTTACTATACCAAGTGTTAAATGGTCACCTTTAAGCGCTCTTCTGCTTGAACTGTGGTTAGTTCACCTTTCTGCACAAGAGTCCAAAAGACTGTGTTGTACAAATTATTTATGTGACCTGCAAGAGACAACAAATACACTTATACTTTGGTCGTCATCATCATCAGACATGTTCGTCGTCCTTCCTTCCTTCTGCCTTCATTATCATCATCATCATCTTCACCACCATCATAATTGGTGGAATGACAGTTGTAACATACTGTACTTACAGTCTGCTTGCCTCCAGCTCAGATAGTCTTTCAGGTTGCGGTTGCTAGGATACAGTACCACACGTCCATCAAATCCTGGTGGGTAGAGGAGAGGCTGCTCTCCAAAAAACTCTTTCCAGTAAAAGACATAAGAGGATGAGAACTGCGAGGCCACATGGGTCATCAGCTTGCTGCCAGGAGAAATTAGGTCAGACACAGAACAACAACAGCAACAACAACAACAATAACACAAGTATAATTACACACACAATTACCTAGCTCTCCTCTTGAACCAGTTGGAGGTCCTCTTGAAAACAAAACTAAACTCATCACTTTGTCCATAGGCAATGATAATATCCTCAAGCTCCTCCATGACCGAGCGGGCGCTGCGGGCCATCAGGCCCAGGGCCCTGTTGTCATTGGGTTTGGTGAACTTGTGCTGCTCTGAAAACCTGAAACACAACATGATACTATGATTCTGGACTATAGGACCATAACTCGACTTCCCCACAAAGGTCAAAGGTGTGCATTGAGAAAAGAAGACTAACTTGTGGAAGTTGCGCCCATCCAGCCTCACGACAATGTAGCAGTTTCTCAAACAGGTGTCATCTACTTCAAAGTTACGCACATATTCAAACTTGCTCTTGGCCATGGTACGAGAAGAAGTAAAGAAACAGGCCAGGGGCTTGATAACACGCGATTTGACACCGTTGCGAAATCGGCACACATTTATAATCTGCATCAATCTGCCTCTGCAACAAAAACACATCCAAATTCATTAATAAGTGGTGTAATATGTAGTTTCAACCCTAATATGACTAACTGGACAAAATGATGACGGCATACAATGTATTTTACCTTTTCAGTGCGCAATTGTATGCCTGTTTATACACAGTACACGGTGTATAATACAATAAATGTAAGCTATATGTGTCATAATATGGTGTTAAGTTAATTACAACACGATACAAGTTTTTCAATGTAATACGATTCGCATTTGTATTTTCGTTTATTCTAACTAAATAATAACACAATAAAAAACAAAAATGACAATGTACTCCTCAGTGGTCACCAGTGCTCTGAAAGGAAACAGGCTTACCATACCACACTTGGAAAGATGGAAATCTTTCAGAACCACGATAAACAAAACTATTGGCTTAAAACGATTTCCTGATCACCGTCTTATCTTGACAGTCAAAGTGGATTTCATAAATATCTTAAACATTGAAGAATGCAACATAACGAAAGACGTTTCTGACGCATGTTCTATTTGGTCCGTCAGTGTGTACAGTCGTACTGAGAACACGGGCAAGATTATAAATAGTTCCGAATTACAAACAACGACTATTACAAAAAATACACGTCAACACTTCCATCGTGTGAAATAAAAATTATAATGCACTGAGTTATAGGAAAGCAGACATTTTGTGGCGTGAATTTACTGTGTAACTTCAGAGTTGATCAATTTCCCATCATGCTTTGCAGTAGCGTTCGCCTGCTTGCGGTTGTTTCAAACAAACATGGAGGAGAAAGAGAGGGACAGGCGAAAGAAGCCAGAGCCTAAAGAAAAAGAATCTGCTTCCAGCTCTTTTGCCTCGTCGGTGCCAAGAGACGATGACGCTTCTAAAATAGACGTATGTTCTGAAAAGTTCGACCCACTTTTGGCCCTATACTCGCCCGCGGTGCCGCTCCCGTTTCCGAACATAAAATGTTTCAACAACGTCGCCGAGTACGAGGGCTTCCTGAAGGGGGGCCGCGGTAGAGCCAAGCCGGAGAATGTGGAGAAAAAGCGGCTGAAGGCCATGAAAGGAGTCGCCGACCCGGAGCGCATCGAGAGACTCAAGAAGCTCATGGTGACCAAGAAGTCAGCGGACGAGGAAGACGAGGGGGGAAGCAGCAGCCGAACGCCGCAGTCACGGAGACGCAAGCCTCAGAAAAATGTGCTGACAAGGATGACCCGTACGTCCAATACACAGCATTGACAATACACTTCAAGTAAATCACTGTCAATAAACATTTTTTTTTTAGTGTCAGAGAAGGAGATGTAAACGTCCATATATTGCTCCATCATCTGATTGAGTATCGTCTTTATCAGACCTTCTGATCGCTGATCGGCCCCAAAACCCCGATCTCGTGAAGTCTAATTGACATGCGTTACCGATTTATTTGAATTCATCTCCCAACACTCACTCGGGCAAGGAGGTTGTCCAACACACTTAACTCCAAAATATCACAGCTGAAGTTAACTTGAGATGTGTTTTGTGTGCAGTTTGCAAAGGCAGTCCTTTGGGCGAACTGCACAGATGTGTGGAGGAGAGGATACGAGTCAAAGTTCACATCAGGACGTTCAAAGGATTGAGGGGTGTGTGCTCTGGCTTCGTTGTGGCTTTCGACAAGTTCTGGAATTTGGTGAGTGCTTGGATGCGTTTGTGATTGCAATAAGAGACAGTTGCCGATTGTCGTCTCATCGTCAGGCCATGGTGGACGTTGATGAGACCTACAGAGAGCCTCTTATCGGGAAGGCCTTCTACCACGAGAAGGCCCTCACTATTTCACGGGTATGCCATTTTCTTCCAAGTGTCTGCTGAAATTTCAGCGCACATTTTTGCCAACTGCTCCAAGGCCCCCAGATTTACAGGGTGCCTCTTCCCAGCTACTGTGAAATCTGGAGTCGGGTGATCTCCGGGTTTTCAAGGCTCCAAATAAAATGATTTCATTTGAGGAGCAGCTTTTGAATCTCCAACGCTTTTATCTGAAACGATTTCTGTGTGCTTTTTGAAGCCTGCTTTGGGTCATCCTGCTTTAAGACATCTGACGAAGAAACTGACACCTGGCCCTACATTGTCCACTAAAATTATTTGATAGTCTTCATGCTTCATAATGCCATCTACACAATTAAGACGTCCGGTACTAGAAACAGAAGAGCAACATGACAATAGGTTGTGACAACTGCCTTGATCCAGTTTCAAAGAGGAATCAGAACCGGAGGGTTCTTCTTGAAAGCGTGTTTATTATAGGCCAGGCATAATCCGTGCATAATTTCTGGGAATTTACACTGTGGGAATGTTTTACATACATGTTGACTCATCCCAATGCGGTTGAAATTTTTGCCTAGCTCTTTGAGAAGCTGAAGCTGCAGGAGAGCTCAGCAAGTGAAGGAGCAACAACGAAACACTGTGTCCTTCGAGGAAGTGGCCAGTGTCTGCCTTCAAACCTGAAGGTGACTTCAGAACACTCATCTGCTCGCCCTGCCAGGCAGAGAAGTGATGACAAGCCAACGGAGCCACCGAAGGGGACGAAGACAGGTCAAGAGAAAGAGTGCAGGGTGTATGGCAAGGTCCATACTCGCCACATCAACCAGCTATTCATCAGGGGAGAAAACGTTCTCCTTATCAACCCTCAACCGCTCTGACAGCTCCAGACTGCATTTCTTTTTGTACCACGTCATCTAAAGCTATGTGTTACCATCTGCATTGATAGGCATTAAATGCTGCTGAGGAGCTGGCAGAAATCTCTGCCCAGAGTTGCTTATACTGTATATCATGTTGATATGTAAGAATTGCTTTGTGTTCCACAGAAATCACCTTGTGGTTGAGGAATTAAAGCTTGTTGCTTGTTCATTTTGGTGTCCTTTTACAGTACATGTCACACCGTCTTCAAGATGAGGACTCAGTCATGCACAGGCCTAGATTACATCAGCATGAAATAATATGTCCATGTGTTGCACACACGGACACACATAAACCAGCCGTCGAGGTGAGTTGAGAGTTGATCCCCTCCTGAGCACATTAGTAAGCATTGATGGAAGTATAGCAGTTTATTTGTAAGGACCCGGAGGTTCCAATTTCCTCTGCAGAGAAGTGTAAAAGTGGCCACTAGCTTTTGGAGAGAGGCTGGTCTGCTTCCTGCCATTCAGCAAGGCACTGACCCTGCTCTCCCAACACAAGAGGCTATTCACACTTCTTGCATGCCAGCATGCTAATGATGTGAGCGGTGTAATTTGAAATTCCCTCAAAGAGATTATAACGAGTATAATAAAACAACTAAAATGAAATTGGATTTTAATTGAACCTTATATGACCCCAAATTTAGAGGGCCCGCTGTCTCATTTGCTGAAATGCTCAGTGGGCCAGATTAAAGAACGCAGTGGAACACGTACGGCCTACAGGCCACACGAGCCATCGCCAAATAATTTGGAAGGGGTCTTCGATTTACGACAGGAACGTTTCTGCGTTGGCAACATAATCTGCGTGTAAATTGGAATGTGTCCGTCTCAGACACGGTAGTAAAGTCCCAATAATAAGGTAAATTTTATTGAACACACTAAACCACAGAAAAAAAATACTAATCAAAAAAAAAAAAAAACAAAACATAATTAAGGCTGTAACTGAGCATGCAATGTTTTATATTATTTCTTCTAGCCAGAGCTGAACAAAGATGAAATTGGTTCGTTGGCGTCACGTGTACCATCCACCCATTAAATTGGCCGGAAATCATCACCCCTCCGACACCTCCATTAGTGCGTCCCCGCACCATCCAGCAGGTGTCAGCAAACACACGTTACTTCCGGCGGGGCCGCCATCTCCAGCTTGTCTCTTGACGTTGCTTTTCCAGTTAGTTTGAACAGGAATGACAGCGCGGTCTCAGCGGACTTCATAAATGCATTATGAATAATTGAGTTTGCGATGGTCGAGATTGCAGATGGCACTCAAAAGCTGTCATTTGTCTTGACGTCTCGAATTGCTTAGTAAATTTTATTGAACACACAAAACCAAAAAAAAAAAAAACTAACCAAAAAAAAAAAAAAAAACAAAACATAATTAAGGCTGTAACTGAGCATGCAATGTTTTATATTATTTCTTCTAGCCAGAGCTGAACAAAGATGAAATTGGTTCGTTGGCGTCACGTGTACCATCCACCCATTAAATTGGCCGGAAATCATCACCCCTCCGACACCTCCATTAGTGCGTCCCCGCACCATCCAGCAGGTGTCAGCAAACACACGTTACTTCCGGCGGGGCCGCCATCTCCAGCTTGTCTCTTGACGTTGCTTTTCCAGTTAGTTTGAACAGGAATGACAGCGCGGTCTCAGCGGACTTCATAAATGCATTATGAATAATTGAGTTTGCGATGGTCGAGATTGCAGATGGCACTCAAAAGCTGTCATTTGTCTTGACGTCTCGAATTGCTTTTACTCTTTAATGGGCACATTACTCATAAAAGCACAATTTACTGCATCTCGTGGAAGATGTATTTTTTTTCAAGGCAGAGGTTGCTCATTGTCTCACTATTTCTTGTGTATTTTTCATATTTTATTCGTATTGCAATGAAAGTAGGTCAATGGCCTTAATTTGAAACCAGAATATATTTTTAGGAGTTGCTTAAAGAATCAATGTACTAAACGTTTTATGGCGTAGTCACGTCCACAATTCGTCAATGCTTCATGTGTCCTCCAAAATTATTTCAAAAACAAAAAAAAAAACGAAAGAAAATTGTTGTCCATCCATCCGTTCATTGCCCGAACCACTTTATTTTCACCAGGGTCGCGGGCAAGATGGAGCCTCTCCCAGCTGTCTTTTCTCAATAAATTAAAAATCATAAAACATACCTGGTGTTTACTTTCCCTCTGAGCCCAGGCAGGTGTTTTGTGGTCATAAAAACAAAACTTTCTGCAGTCATCTTGTCCACAACATTCAAACTTGTACAAGATGTCCTATAGCAAATGGCACTTGAGACGTCATCTACTGCAATTACAAAACAGAAATTGGTTTGGTCTATAAATGCTGCCATTAGTGAGCCGTGGCAATAAAATGTCAAACAATTAAGTAGTCACTATTAAGATGACTATCCCAAATTCTAAACGCCGCTTCTACGGCAGGGCTTTGAGTATTCACTTGCCTTGCACTTTTATCACGTTGACATTAACTTGAAGTAATTTCTACATTGAATACAATCCACTTGTGCTGCTTGAAGCTCTTTCTAATGACGCAAATGACAAAACGTACCAAAATAACACAGATCATTACATCATTTCAATCAACGGTTTAATGTTGTAGATAAGCAATATTGCTGTGTAAATCAAAATGGGAATAATGCAAAAATTCTCCAAGGACTTTCTTTTTGATATTTGCATATACTAGTGTTTCTATAACAACCCGATTCTTACTTACAGAAAATCAAAAAGTAGAAAAAAAAACCCTGGATAAAACAAACTAATGACAGAAAACAGATTTTGGTCATTGTAATGCTCCAGACTTCAATAATAAAAGGCTACATCGCATCGGTGTGCAAGACCTCTTGAGGCCCTCCAAAGCTGCAGGATCCACATCCTTATACTCTGGCGTGTGAATTATTTATAACATCATTGGCCCAAAAAAAAAAAAAAAAAAAAAAACAGGCACCCAAGATTGATGTAATGTTACAGTTACAAGGGTCAGGAGGCACTTGGTCCATCCAGCGAGGAGCCGTGCCCTGTATGTACACACCAACAGATCGGCACCACAGTTCGTCCTCTTGCTCATCTGCTTAGTCGTAAGGTAAATGCACACGCATACACACGACCCGACAAATACTGCATGGGAGCTGTTCTAAATGCGAAAATAAGAAGTTCAACGCAAATGTGACGCAATCGGCAAACAGTCTGCGTTAACAGAATGACACAACAAAAGAGAGGAAGTAAATATGTCGAAGGGACAAACAAACCGCTTGAGTGAACTAGTTAAGACAACTGCCTTGGTGTACTGACAGTTTACTTGGCTTGAGGCACGAGTACAAACCGGCATTATTTGTACATGGTGTGTTTGCTGCCTTCAACACTGCATGGTCATATTGTCTTCTTTATGGAAGTGAACAGAAGAGGAAAGGCAAAGGTCTCGCAGGCACTCTGGGTTGTACTCGGGAGAGGGAGGGGGGGGGGGAGAAAAAGAACATTCCCCAAGTATTGATTATCTTCTTTAAATGCAAAGCGATCATACTCTTCTTTAGAAGTCATTTATATATGTACAGCAACAAGAAGAGCCATAACATTGTACCAGTAGCAAAGGGTGGGTGTTCTGGATGTGGCGAAACTGCTTTTTGCAGCCGAAGGTCATCGCGGCATGTCAGAGAGAAGGTAACAATGTGCTCTTAATTCAAATCGCTTTTGTGTGGATGGCGTAACTGTTAGCAGCCAACTCAACTCACTGCAGATCAAAGTTCTTTCTAGCTTCGAGGAAAGAGATGGAGATTTCAATTGACAGGTTAAAGGAAGACAGAGGACAAAATGAGAGGTAACTTGGAAGTTAAAATGGCTGATCATGTTCACCAAAAGCATCATTCAATAGGAAGCATCTCGAAAAGTGATGCATCTACCGAGATATATATATTCCGGTATCTATATACATCCATTTTTGCTATTCTGCTGATTCCGTTTGATTGAGGTCATAAAAGCAAACACAACTGACATTCATGACCAGCAAGGCACACAATTTACAGTAGCCGTCTGAAGACCGCATTGATCATTGGTTCAAACGGCACACGCATGCATTCGCACGCACGCACACACACACACATCCATTTAGATTTGCTTAAAAGAAAGAGATTGCAGGGTGTCGGTAGAGTGAGAGTTGACATGATTCAAGTACTCTTTGTTTGAAGCTCAGGACAATCCTTCACCAATGACCTCTTGGCTAATCTCTGCTCTTCTTCATCACTTCCCGAAGTTCCCAAAGTCAGCGAAACTGTCATGTTTGGACTGCTGAACCATTGTCGGGTTCATTCCCATTCCCATGGCGCCGGGCATCACCATCGTCACCCCTCCCATGTGCATGCCCATGCCCATTCCCATCATGCCCTGGTTGGAAGCCATTGACATCCCCATCATTGCCTGGTTGGGGGGCATCCCCATGACCATCATTCCAGGGTTGGGCGCCATCCCCATTCCCATTCCAGCACTGGGGTGCATCATAGCATTGACAGGCGGTCTGACTGCCGTGGGTCCAAGGCTCATGGTCGAAAATCCCTGTGACAGCATGCTGGCATTGGCCTGGCTGCCTGCAATGTATTCAACAAGTTACATTTAACTGGGCTCTTTTGGGCCACGCGCGCACACGCACCCGCACACACACACACACAGTGGTCCTTCGGTTCATAAAGCAATTTATTCGTGAACTGAGGTTCCACTGTATCCAAGTTCTGTTTCACAGTAAATTACCGCTGACGAATCCTTCAACATGAATCCATCGTGGCCGCCGGGTTTAATTGCTCGCCATCATTGAGGTAGCAGGAGATGATGACTGAGGTTGCTCTGTCGTATTTCCACATTTGGGCATCTCTTGTCTGAATTTGTTGGCAATTACTTTCAGTGAGCTTGCTGATGGCAAAATATAAATCTCGCTTTGTGGCAACTAGTTATTCAAGATAAGGGATTTACAAGAAGATGGACAACACACCCAAATGTTGAACGGTATTTACATTCCAAGCTGTAAGCCATCAACATAACATCCGCATTTTATTGTCAAAGATATGAAATTGATTGGTTTGTAAGTGAAGCCTCCTTCACACTTGCCATGGCGGTTATGTTTTTCCGCTTTCTGAATAGTGTGTAAAGTACCGATGCAGGACTGCTGGGCCATGTCAACCCAGGCATTTGCCAGCTTCCGTCGGCTAAAAGAGGCAGAACGGCGTCAGCTGTTTAACTTGCCGTCTTTAGAGCAACTGCCATTGCACATCTAATCATCTTAATGGGGAAAGTCACAGCTACTAAGAAAAGCGTGAGGAGCCCCAGTGGCGCAGTGAACGTCTTTTTACCTTTTTTACCGACAATTGTTTTAATTGTTTATACATTTTGTCAATAGCAGTGCTTTTAAGACTGTTAAAATGCCATTTTTGTTTCTCTCCCTTTATCTCTGGAAGAGATTAGCGGTTCCACTGTTGATGAAATCACATTTATTGCAAGCCTGACTGTTTGCCGCTACATTCTTTAGGACAACATCACCATAAGATTGCCAGATTGACAAAATTCTTAATGACCTGAAAGATTATTTATTCACGAGCATCCTCCTTGTTAGCCTACTTGCGAGTGTATAAGCGAACCATGTGGTCCCACCAACAAAGATGCTCATTAATTCCTTGCTGAATGCAATCGCAGACTGCGCTGTATTATTAACGGGATGCTTAAAAAAACAGCCGCAGTACGTCAACAGAGTTAGAATTTATGTCTACGTCTTTCCTTTACCTTGTTGAAGTGTGTTGAGTGTGGGTTGACTCTGCTTGGGCGCCTGCATGCCGGGTCCCAGCGAGTCGAGGCTGATGTTCACCGAGTGGTCTGACCAGGTGGAAGGGAGCGACGCTTTGGCTGCAGTGCCCTGAGAAACGAGTCCCTGCTGAGCAGTCTGCGGTTGTAGAGGCGTCCCAATGTTCTGTAGGGGCTGGCAAAAGCATCAATAAAAATGGACCTTGAAAGTGCAGTCTTAACCACAAAGAGCTCTGCCAAGACCTTTGTCATAAATAATTAAATAAATAAACATCAGGTTTTTACAACACTAAAGAAATCGTAATCTTGATACGATGCGAGCAACAGTAATCTAATGACACAAGTCTCCTCTTTGTTCTTGGCAGAGAAAATCATACTCATTTTGAGAGAATTATTCCATGCTACAAATTAATCACCGTAATATACTGTACACTATAGTACTAAGAGATGATAAAGAGCCGGAGGTGCAAGTACTGATCTCAATTCATTTTAAGGAAGTAGCGGTTGCCTATTTTTTTTTGAAAGGGGAATTCAACTCAACAGCCCCCGGGAGTCAAAACACAGCATTTTGACTAATATTGCGTTTGGGGAATATGAATTAAGCAGCAAAATTCACCCATTTTTAGCCTTCTCGGGCGGCAGCCATTTTGCCACTTGCTGTCAACCAAAACAATGACAGCACAGTAGCTCTGTTTTTCCAAGTTTGGTCATGGGACTTTCGCAAGATGAGCCATGTTTGGTCGTTACTTGAGCAAGCTCGTCTTTGCTAGTAATGCAGCAATATTATTACTTGGCTTTGACACTACAACTTCAGTGGAACTATCGCCAAAAAAACAAAAACAAAAACAAAAAAAGAAATAAATATATTTTTTTTTGCCCAGTTTAGCTGCAGTAGCAGTCTTGTGGAAATGTGATGTTACAACTCCGCAAAATTCATGCCTGATTAGGGTCATTTTTTGGAATGGGCTACCAGCTAAAAAAAGTTCAAGTATTTATGTTTATTCTTACATCATTTTGGGTTTCCAGCTCATAAATCCCAGAAAATGAGGAATTTGAAAAATCTTAATACTGTGGAGAAATTAGCCCACATTTTGCAGGGCATCAATGTTCAATCTTCAATGTTTCATCTTTTTGAATGGAATTATGAAAATACATTTTTCCATGATCTTCTAATTTCTTGGAAAGGGTCTGTCTATCTATCGATCGATTGAGTACCAGGGGTGTTCATGTTTTTGTTAATGTTTTTCATTAACATTAACAAAAACAATTCAATCATGTATTTATTTGCCTTCATCTCAAGCCATGAATACAATTTGTCACTCCCTATTTAGTTCCTTGTAGGTAGACTTTGTACTGTGCATAATAATCACCTTTGATCATATGACTGTGTTGAAGTAATTATCTCTTTTGTTTCTTCACTGTCATGTTTCTCTTGATCACGTTGTTTCTTTTGTTTTTGGAGTTGGATTAAAAAAAAAAAATACTGACAAAATGATGCGTCTCCAGAGGCAACATTGTTTTAGCAATTCCGACAGCAGATGTCACAAAAGGTCATGTCTCTTCTCCTCGTACTCAATGCGGAATAACAGTTATCCGTGCTCAGGATTTGCAAGAACATATGTAAATGTACAACGCCAAACTCCACTAAGAAGTGAGCGAAAAGGTTTGCTGCTCCAAAATTGCCCTCCGAAGACATTATGTTGCACGTCATGTTTTGTCACGTTTTCATTCAGGTATCTATTAGCTTATTTCATTTTGTTCAGTTTTTTTTTTAAACCATTCACAGAAGGCTTTACTTTCACAAAGTTGTAGTTAAAAAGTATCGATTATAGCACGAATTTTCTCATGCGATGCTCTCGTTGTCACACTATTGTGATTGAGTATATTGTGTATTCTTTCCGTGGCATGCTGTCTGGTCCATTTTGAATCGTACGCATCAGTCAAGCAACATAAACTGCTCATCAGCACCCCAACTCTTGTCAATGCAATTCCCCCCAAAATGTCAGCATGAAACCGATGTCATGTAATGCTAAGCATGTTGATAAATTATTAAGAATGGACATGTTGGTGTTTGAGTGCAACCACACATACCTGTGACCTCGACTGAGGCAGGGCTGTGGTGTTCATGCTCTGTGTACTATTCATGCTGAAGTTGAGGCTCTGAGAGGAAGTAAATGTCTGAGTTGGCCCCATCAAGTCAAATAGATCCGCTGAGGACGAACTGGAGCCCACAGTGGCGACGGGGGCGGGGGCAGGAGCAGGGCTGGCTTTCATGGCTCCAAAAAGGTCATTCCCACTGGTGTCTACAGGCTGAGCAGATGCTGGCATCTGGCCACCAGGGAATGCATTCCACTCTCCAAAGTCTCCATTGTTGCTGGAGACTGGTGCGCCTGCAGGATGAAAGAGCAAGAAAAAAAAAAAAGTTATTTGTGTAAATTGAGACAAATAAACAAGACCTGTCCTGGCAAAATCAACAGTTGAGTCAGAGTTTGCTCAGTCCGATTTTACGGATGGTATTCTCAGTGATAACTGATGCCACATTTTAAAATTTAATTGAATTGATTCTGCTTGTTGTCTCTCCATCTACCCCCCCCCCCCCACACACACACACTTCTGTCTTCCTCTGTCCCTGTCTCCTTGTCATCCATAACTGGAGCTGATGTGTGTCTGTTCTTGTTATGCAGAGCAGGTAGCACGCACCATATGGCCAGCTTTCCTTCTGAATATTCTAGTAGTATGCTGGAGTAGCTACAAAGGCACAACACACACTTAAAAGGAAGCCTTGAATCCTACCAGATCCCGCGGAAAGTCCGGCAGAAGCAGCAGGTGAAGAGAAGTCGGCAAATCCACTCATCAAGTCTGCAATGAGAAGAGTCATAAAGATGTCCATCTGAGAGAAGAGCTCCAGGTGCTCAGCTGACAGTTAGCATTCCTTCAGTGTGTTCAAGAGTGTTAGGCAGAAAGGAGGGGTGCTGACATCTGTTCAGTCCTCCCGCCCTCTTCATTCACCAGGGACTACTCCAAAAAACATCTGGTGCACTTAGTTCCTATACATTAGCTCCCTCCTCCAACTGTCCTCAAAATCTGACGCTAGCACCAGCAGCTGCACATTGTGACAAGTGCGCAACTGTCGGTTTGACGCAAGCTAGCTTGACGGCTAGCTTGTTAGGCCATCAGATCGGCATTTCCCATTGCCTGGAAAAGCCAGGTGCACAGACTCAACAAATCAAATCCACTGGTTGGGCCTGGATTGATCGCGGTGCGTGAGAGAAAAAGAAACCCCAGACAGGCACATTGCAAGTTACGCATTCAAACTCTTACATTTCATGACACTGCAGTATCATTCGCGTGATGGGTAGGTATTGATGAAGGAATTTCATTCGTATGCAGTTAAGCTTTGCTGATGCTGACTAAACTGGTTGTAAAACTGATCTTTTACACTGTGATGTTTTCAGGTGGAAGTTGTGTCCTTGTGACCACAGCTCCTTTTTTGAACGCACCCACTGCAAAGAGCATGTACATTTTTTCATGGTTTATTTTGATAGTCAGAGCAGCTGGTGACGACTGCAGCAGACACAACTAGATAAACTAACACGAATATTAAAGCCACTAAAACCACGTTTAAAAAAGAAAAGGGTATGACCCCAAATTTTACCAGCAGGAGGAGGCTGAGAAGGTGTTGACTCCACCATAAGTAGGTCAACTAGTCCACTACTCGAGGGCTGCGTTGCTGCTGATTGTGTCTGCAATAGAGAATACAGATAGATCAGAAGCGGGGCATCGTATGGTACTTGCAGCCACATTAAGTGTAATCACACGCAACCTGTGTGGTGGTAGCGTTTGGGCTCTTGTCTCCTGTGTATTGGGCCGCCGCCCCCAAGTCCACTTTCTTTGACGGGACGCCTCCTCTCTTGCGGGTGGCTGTCGTCTCTGTAGCTTGGACTATTTGTACACTCTTGGTGGTCACGGTTTCTTCTTCATCTTTGAATTCTTTGCCCGATTTGCCATTCTGAGACGAGCGGCCTCGGTCCTCCTCATTGTCACTGGTCGAGGGCAAATGAACAAATTACAGAATGCCAATGCGTAATGCTCTCTGCTGGAGAGATCGTGACATTTTGGATACTGTATTGAAGTCTCTTTGCCCAAGTGATGACATACAAGTCACGTAGGAGAAAATCTAAATTTTGAGCTTGAGGCATTTGTTTGTGGCCACGCATGCATTGATGACTGTAAGTTGGAGGCTTGGTGACAAAGTACGTGAGTAAGTGAGAAAATAGTTGAGGCTTTTGCAGTCTCGAGCATGCCGCTCGAGCCTCATAGAGCCTCAAATTGTGATTTATGCTTCCTAAGTCATGATATGTTTTATTGCTCAAAATGGCCATCAATTCAATACACCCTGTATATTATTCAAACTATCCTCGAGATCTTTCAAAGAGTGGTATACCTCATTCTCACAGTCATGTACACTAATCTGGGAAATCAAATGCATCGAAATAATAATACGATTTGGAGGGGAGTTTGAGAGATTTCAAATCAGCCTTACCAACATTTCTGGTGTGTGCGCGCGTGTGTGTGTGTGTGTGTGTGTGTGTGTGTGTGTGTGTGTGTGTGTGTGTACATAAAGTACATAGATACATTTGCTGATTGTTGATATTTGGGACATTGCCACTCACTCCCCTTACCTGAATCTGTCTGGTGAGTCATCTCTGTCCTTCTTCCTAAACCTGTTGATGGTATCGTCAATCGTGCTTCCAATCTTGTCACTGATCTCTCCCAATTTATCGCTGAATGGGAACTGCCCTTTGTTACTCTCCCAGTCATCATCCCACTGGTGACGGGTTTCACTGGAGTCATACCTGTCCCCCGCTGGAAGAAATCACAGTGGTAGCTTTAGGTCAAATTATCTTTTTTTCTGGTGAAAGGGACTGAGATTAGTTTGGATTGGCCAAGAATGGACTTACAGTAACCTCTGTATCCTCTACTGTCGGAAGACACACCAACATATTTATCTTTGTTTTTCTTGGCTTTTTTCCGCTCTTCCCTCAGTCTTTCATCATCCTGGACGAACTCAACCATCTCCTTCACTTTCTGGCGCACATTCACTCCTTGGTCCTTCCCATGCTCATCTAGGAACAGCACATATGTGTCACATTACAACATGGACTGATTAAAAAAAAAAGTGTTACTTTTTAAGTGCTGACTCGCATACACTAAGAACTCTGTATATAATCATCGCTGAGCAAGGATTAATGAATGATCTTACTTCTTGCACCTTAGACACACAAACATGGCTGAAAATAATGAAAGCAGCTTTTGGGGACCACGTGTGTGTGTGTGTGTGTGTGTGTGTGTGTGTAATTGTGGAATAAGCAAAGCTGTCATCATAGCTCACACTAAAGCTTTTGTTAATTAACATTCTGTTCGAAGAAAGGCTCTCATTATCAAAGCAGAACTTGAGAATTAAAGTGACAATGAGCTGCGGGGGGCTTCACATGCCGGCGTATGCACCCCTCCTCCAAACTGCAAAAGGGAAACCCTGAGTAAGTTAGAAGAGAGGGGGAAACACTTACCAACAAAGTGGTAGCTTTCTAATGATCTCAAGTCATAGAGATGTTCTCTGGCACTAGTTACAACCCGCTCTGATCCATTCCTGATTAGATGAGCAAGCAGCAGTAGGGACTGCAAGGCAGAACAGATAACAATACGAGTATTCATTTTGAACGTACATACTGTAGTATGTGACCGAAAATGATCAAAGGGACTTTTTTTTTCCCCCTGGGCCGCTGCAGACAATTCAGTACATTTTAAAAATATCAAACATCTAAATACTTTCAAACCATAGCTGAGGTGTGTTAATGAGTCGTGAAATAATAATGTTTCTTGCATTATTAAAAAGGGTCCATCAAACGTGAACATGGGTCTTTGCCCTTGTTTCACATACTGTCTGTCTGCAAAGAGTTTGCGGTACATGGCCAGCAGACCTTGTAGACTCTCCTCCAGTTCTTCTTGTTATCTCTCAGCATGCGGGTCCACAGCATGTTCATCACCTCTGGGAACTGCTCATACATGAAGGTTGCTCTGGACGTTGACACATGCACAGAGGCAAGAAAAATTCAACATTTTAATTTAGAATGCATCACACTCTATATTTTATCTGGCCATGTCCTGTAAACATTGCGACCAGGCAAAATGTTGAGTTCACTCAAATTATCTCATGTAAGAGCAAGCATAGAATCAATATTATGGATGTAAATTAGAGCTTGACTGATATGGATGTTTTTGGGAGGCAGAAAAAATATATAGATTATCAGTTAATTCATTGAAAACAAAAATGCAATGCATAAAATACCTTCTTTTTTTGGTCCTCTAGAGATGTAAATACATAAATTGCATGAAAGGCAACTTTCTAATTTCATTGTTCCTGTTTCTTTATTTAATATATATTTTGTATCAACCGCATAAAATAAAATGAAATATCCACAAATATCCAGTGGCCAGAATGTCCCAAACAAGGTTGTACAACTTCTTTTCAAGGAATACAGTCAAGTGCAAAGAATAAGATGGAATACAAGAGTGACAAGTAACATTTAAGGAGCACCAACTAGAGTTTTAGAAACACACGTTTGTCTTGTTAAAGGCACCGTTTTATTCAATTGTGGTGTCTCAGTCTCTCTCGCTCTTTTTTTTTTTTTTTTACATATTTAAACATTTATCAAATATAAAGGTCAAGTAAAACTATCAAGAAAAAATATCCTCATTCAAGATAAAAAATGAACAAAGCAACAAAGGAAAAGAAAATGAAGGAGGAAAAAAAATAAAATAATTACAAAGGTAGAAAAAGGTTATGCTGCATCATACTTGAGGGGATCAGGGTTTATATCCTGTCAACACTTTTAAATCAATGCAAACTTCCTTTGTGTGTCAGAGTACTTGAGTGAAAGAATGTATTGTCAGCAGTGTTTAATTTGTTACGAAATACAAGACTGATTCTTCTTGAGAATTTCACACTGACCAAACCCGTATGTCCCGTCCAGCCCAGACAGCGACCCCCACCCACTATTAAAACTCTTGACGGTGATCGATGGCTTTCACTTGCCGTAATGGGTGGCGCAACTAAGCTCACTGCTAATGCTAATGTGACACACCGGTGGTGCACCTCTTGCCTCCTGTCAATATATCAGAGGTGAGAGAAACATCATGCCACAATAAATAAAAACGGAACCCAATTTATAGCTATGCTGTTTCAAAGTATAATGGACCGGCAAAATAATAGGCACAGCAAACAAACTCTTAACATTGCGGACTGTTGTGCTAACCTTGAAATTTCACTCATCAGTTGTCCTGATGGTCCCCAGGGGTCATCATTAGTTGCCTCTCTGACTTTAGACTCCACCTCTGAGTAGTTCATCACCACATTGGTTCTGCGAAGGAGAGTAAAAAAAAAAAAAAAAAAAGAGAGAGAGAGAGGGAGAGAGAGGACACGTAACATACACATGAAATGTTGCTGAAGTGGAAAAGCATGTTCTGTATTTAATATACAAATCACTTAGTCGCTGTTTAAACAAGGGGCAAAAAAAAAAAAAAAAAAGAATTCTAAACCCACACACACTTTAGCTTGTCTGGACAGTGAGATATGGGGGATTGCTTACCTGAGCTTGGATTCAGGTAAAAACAATGACACTAAACGATACAGAGGGGTGCCCCCCCCCCCCCCCACAAGTACACTCCTTGTGAGGGCAAGAGAGAGAGCACTTGTTTGGTGACATTTAAATAAAATTAAAATGAAAAAGTAGGTCAGCAAAATAAGATTTGGCTTGTCTAGCTGTAAATGTAAAACTGTAAAAAATACAAACTGTAAAAAGAAAAACAGCAACATTGGTACTGCAGCGTGCACAATGTAATTCATGACAGCGGTTCAGTTGTGTGTAAAAATACTCAGAATTGACAAAATAAACTCAACGGCACATGTTGAATTTATCCATTCGATCACTCAGAACAACATGATGCAACTTCTCTTTCTGGTTAGAATTTGACCTCATTGAACAGTCACAAAATGGCACAAAAATGCTGACGAGTAAGTAGATATCGAACCACAAAATAAACGCTTGCAAAAAAAAAAAAAAAGAATGTGGGGCCAACTGCTGTTCTACATAATAAGCCTCACGCTCCTCCATTTTCTTAAGTGATAAACTTTTCAGAACGGTCGATCTCAAACGTCTTTGGTGGACCATCATGACAGACATCAAAATAATGACATCTAAA